ATGCATGTTTTTGTTCGTCGTTGCTTTAGTCCATATGCCATTATCTGATCCCAAAGAAGTACTAGAAGTACTGGTAAGTACGTGGAAAAGTTGTGGAGAACATGAAAAGCTTGTTGCTAACCATTTATCACAGTCGGAATCTAAAAAGTAAAAAACGCAAAAATTGTAGGCTGGTAACTGATAAACTATAGCTTTAGTAAACATCGGACTGATATTTTCTTAAAAATAACTTTTCGGGAGGCGAGCTCAACTAGCTTGCAACTAAAAAAATAAAACATTTCCGGATTGTACAAATTTTTAACACACTGCTTAGCGCGATAAATGTTTGCAGAGGAAAAGCTCTTGTATTGTAACTGAATTTCAAAGGTGAACTGAATTTCAAAAGAGCTTAACAGCGTACTGGATAATAATGCCTTACTTTTTAAGCTAAACTTGTTCCCACTTGCTAGAAGAGCTCCTCCTATGAAGCCTTAGACCATTTCTAATTCCCTTCCATAATTTCGACTATCAAAGTTGGGCTGCTGGAAAATAATTTTTATTAAATCGATTATCAAATAAAACAATTCGCAACATCATTTTTCGCAAAGGTTTACGTCAGGAGTGGTGTTCTTAGGTTATACCTAAAATTGATCGATTAAGTCAATTCCAGTCAAAGTTGTATAAAAAAATTGCCAGAATTGCTTTGTCTTCAGTTTAGTTTTTGTTAGTATTTATTGCGTTTAAGCTATGATGTAAAAATGTAAACAATGTTTTCAATTATGTATGAGTAGAGATCAGAGTGTGCTTCTCGTAGTGAGTGCCCAAATGGCCCCAAGAAATGTTTCTCTTAATTTTTAGATCAATGTTTTTCATAAATTTTAGCCTATTACGGATCTAATGACATCTAAGACCGCTTTGAAAGTAAATGTAAAAATTTTGAAGTTTGTACCTACTATGCTTGGTAAAGTAATGACATTTAATTTGTGCCCAACGTTGTCTTAATTTGTGCAACTGTGAACGCTCTAACAGTAGGTGACTAAGGGACGACCATGGCACAATTGACTCAGAATTTGTAGGCTGACCAAGCATGTATATATATGTGTATACATATTCTAGAGTCCCTAACTTTTGCAAACGAAAAAAGTATATCCTCCTCCCGCTATAGCGGTTACGCACATTATTTGAAATGCTTCATGGAGTTCATTTTTAATTAGCTGTTGCATTGTAAGTCAAAGTGATATACACTTTTTCTATGCCATGACAGCTCTACAGTGTTTTAAATATCTGAACAAAATCCGAGCAGCAGTGGATTGCTATTACTTGACGATGTATTACACCCGCAATTCCGAAATGAATAACGAATCTCAAAAACACGAATCAAAATTTTACTTTCATTTAACCAATTTTATAACAAAACGAGTTTCAGGACTAGTTATTTCTCTCTCTCTCTCTCTCTCTCTCTCTCCCACTCTTCTCTTCAATGTAATGTTTTCATATTTCCCTCCTTATATATGTGTTTAAAACAAAAGCGCAGGGAAGAGGGTGGAACCGTCGCAGCGTCTAGACTTCTATTGGGTACGCGATCGTTGTCAATAATCCCGAACTACTAAGAAGCGTAAGCCTATCCGTTTCGTTGGACCAAAATGATGACTTTATTCAAAAAGAATTCGATATTCGTTTAAGATCAAGTTTCTATTGGTTTGTGTGTATGAGGAAAAAGTGCTCTTATGTTTAAATTATATGCAGGCGGGCGAAATGTGATACCTTGCGGAGCGGATCATAGCAGAAAAGTAGATGATGAGTGCGTTGCATTTATTGTACTGCCTGTAAACAGATTACAGTACTCTCTCCGTATCGGCACACTACAACAATATGCTTACAATATTAGGTGATTAGGCAGCATTGAAGCCCGTTTCATTACATACATGCGCCGCGAACTTGATAAAAGAAATTTCAAATTTTTATATAAGCTATTGATTGTTAATAAGTTACTGTGAGTAGCAACAGCCATGACAATAAATAGCATAACTTGAAATAACTTTCCTTTATAATCTATATTCGTATGATCATGAAATTGTGAGAACATTATATTTTAATATTGATGAAATATTAATTAAAATGTAAAATGTAAAAAAATGAAATGTTTCCTAATTGCAATAATAATAAAAGGGAAAAGAATAACAGCATGAAAATTTATGAATTTAAAACGAAATGAAATATTAGAAAAACACATTATATCATATCGTATACGCGAACATATTTATGTATATAGGATACTTGAAATGAATTTTAGTATTCCGACTTCATCAACTTAGGCTTTCTTAGGATGACCCGTTTAACTTAAAAATTTCATTAAATTATGTACGATAATTAAATTTATTATTTAACGAAAAAAAAAAAGAAAATAATAATAATACTATTAAGTAAAAGAGAAAAGTTTGGTTATAAATTCTTTCTATATAATACAGTTATGGATTTGGCCACCGATTGGCTTTTATATCAATAGTAGTTCAATAATGCATTAATACACACACATATAAATAAATATATGTATATATATTTATACATACACATTAAATCGACCTAGTTAGCATATAGTGCATAGTTTAAAAAAAAAAAAATAAAATTTATATATACATATATATATATATATATATATATATATATATTCATAATTCATATGGACTATGAAATAGTGAATATTAGAATAGTTTGTTATATAACATTAGTTTATATGTATTAAAATAGTATCTAAAATAGTATATATGGAATATATATAATGGAATGGAAATAACAATATTTCTATAGCAAAAGAAAAGAAAGAAAAATTAATTATTAAAAAATAATACGTAGTTAAAAAGCGTGCTCTAAAAGAAAGAAAACTCAAATAAAATGGCAACTATATTCGTACATAGAAATAATTGTATGGAATTTTTATTTTTAAGCCATTTATGTACGTATACCCTTCGAATGAGGTAATCGATCAAATTAACTTTTTAAACAGTTTAACAAGTTAATACCTTAGTTTTCTCACTTGATATAAATTTTGGATAAAAGATATAAATGAAAAAGGAAATCGTATTTGATTTGTAGACGACTTACTTATGTCGGCACGCTTACCGTGTGCTTAAGTATATGTTATACTAACTGAAAGAAATTTCTGTAAATCATACATATATACATCGGGCATGAATTATTCTTGATGACGTGAATATTGGCGTAGTTATCTTTCTGTATCTTTCACATATTGAAATCAAGATTTCAATCCCAAAATCTGATTTAGCCTCAAGTTACCTTATCGTGTATGCTCAAGTATATGTTATACTATATGCATCGGGCATGAACTATTTTTGATGACCCTTAATATTGGCCTAGTTAACTTCTTTTATCTGTCATATCAGGGCAAGGACGACCATTACATACCATACGCCGCGTTGTCTAACACAATACTTATTTTATTATAGAACACAAACATTCTACCTTGTTTCTATATAAAGGCATATTTTTCATGTGGATGTATTTATGGAGAAGCAAAACGCAACCCAATTTAGTACAAGTTTAATGCTTACATAAGGCAGGATCCAGAAATAGGCATAGACGGTTTATTCATTATTTAAACTTATTAAAACTTGGAGTTTCCGGCTCTACAAAGGATTAATTTTAGTGAAAGTCCTTATCTCTGAAGTCATTTGGATAAAAAAATTGGTCCAAATTTGGCACAGTTAAGTTCTTTACTATTATGATATAATTTTTAGCTGAACTTCAGTTTTCGTTACATGGGAAGGGGTTCAAAAATTGCTCCAGCGGGTCCAAAATTTTCATACCAGTTTAAAATGCCGAAATAATACTACTTTACTACTTTTCCTGAGAAATTTTTGAAATTACAACTTCTTCCATATAATGATTTTTTAGAATAGGGCGATATATGACGAGTGGTTGAAAAAGTGAATCGATTCGAACCTTTTCCAATAGCGTTTGTCTTGTCATTCATCGGTAAAAACTTTGCAAAATTATCTTTGGTAAATTTTGAATTTCGTTTTAGAAATCTATCTGAAATATATGCATGGCATTTGCCCAAGTCCATAGTTAAACGCTATTCTTCATTGTTACGTGCTTTCCCAAACATATTTGGACGTACAGGTTGATGAGGACATATTTAATGTATTTCTGAAGTCATTTGAATCTGAATCTGGGATGCTGGTATCACTTTCTGCACACTCCGCACTCAAAACTTTAAAAAAAATTATTGGCATACAAACAGGTATCACGGGTCTTAAGTTCTTTTACAAGGCGTTCATTGCCGATGAATGTCACCATATTGAATTTGTGCTGAAGGTAAGATAAGATTCCAACTTTTTAATAAAGTAAATAATTAATTCACGTACATAATTACCTCATTGTATCGCAATACAACTGCATAAAAAATACGAAACCTCAATTACTGTGGTCGGATTTATCAGCTAAAGGAGTTACATAGGTGAGACTAGTTAAATTTTCAATCTTTGGCAAATAATAAGTGGTTAAGGGACCGTTGCTATAACGACTAAATGTTGAAGTGGAATTAAAATGCTGCAACCATCCGAGGGTATTCTGCGTAAGGAAAGGAAACCCCTTTTCACAGGTAACCCCATTCCCTTCACAGTTTTCCGCACCACCTTGAAGTACCACGAGATAGACGCGTTGGCAACTGTTTTAAATAGCTGGCATCCACTGTAGGCCTACGGCATTGATACTTTAAAATTATAATAATATTTACAATAATAATATATATAGTAACAATAATAAATAAAACCTGGCGCAATTTTTTTTTTTTTTTACAACAATAGTATTATTATATTGTTATAAATAGAGCAGCATATATATTTTGAGGAGGTAGCGCGTTTCCAGATCGTTGAACGCTACTCCATCTTGGTCGAAGGGTTCAAATTGTTCTTCGACCTGGTCTCCAAGTTCCTAATCGTCCTCGGTTTTGAATCCGCTTGTCCATTGCAGCGATTTCCATTGACGACTCGTCCTGCTATTGGCCAAAAACATTTCCAACAGATCTGGGCTTACCCTGAGCTCCTCCGGTAGCTCGGCAAAGTTCTCTCGGAAAAATTTGTCAAGTGTCAATCCCTACACGGTTTGTCTTAAAATGCTCCTCAAAAAATCTGCTGCACTCTTCTTTTTTACCTTTCAGCTCCGTCCATTAACGTAACGAGTAACTATTGCACTTACGAAGCAAGTGGTTTGTGCCGTTTCCACCTCGTCTTCTTCACTAAAAAATTGACATATACCTGCAATATCCACAGTGTGCATTAGTGCCGACTGCGTTCTCTCCTCGGTCACAAGATGTGTTCGGGCTTCGTCGCGTCCGCCAATTCGGTGAAAGTCTTGTGGTTGTAGTTGCTGGCATTATTCCTCATCTTGCTTTGGAACGCTACCAATATATGCGCGTATTCGTGGAGAAGCCTTATTTTGTAACTCTTCCCAAATTTTTGCTGGCGTTTCAGTCAAATACCACTGCTTTCACGTCTAGGCCATCGAAGACTTCTTTGTGCGACGTTAATGGATAATAACTTAAGAGAAACTTGAACGCGGTCAACAGATTTCGCGCTGCCACGAGGACTGTTCGGTAATCGTTCGCGCTGCTGTTGCTGTATTTACGTCCAGCTATTCTATCCTCCGAAGAGTTGAAATGAGCCATACCATTGGTGTACACTTCACCGAAATGTATCTGCACTACTCTATCGTGGCCGCTTACCTTCTCCACGGCTTTCTTCAACTTTACCTTGCGGTTAGTACCATGTTAGTTTAAGTTTAAATTTGCAGTGGTTGAGCTGCTTGCTGTTGTTGTTGATTTTTGAAGCGCGTGTCCACGACTTTTAACGCCTTAATTTATTCTCTAAGGCGGTCATTTTGCTACTGCCATGCTGTATTCTCCAATGAATTCGAAGTTGAGGTGCCTAATACTTTTAAAGCACCTAATGCAGGTCTCTCTACTTACGCGAGGTTTTCTAATTCTTCTAATTCTGTTCTACCTAATACTTTTGCATCGACCACTTCTTCTAATTCTATTCTACCTAATTCTTCCGTGTGAAGCACTTCTTATAATTCTATGCTGCCTATTTCATCTATTTCTTCATCGACAAGTCTTAAAAAACTAAGTAAATTCATTTCGTCCTCATCAAAAAGACTTGAAATGTCCCCGTTCCCATCTTTAATGAAGTGCTTCTTGGTTTTTCACGTCACATGCATCAAACCCATTTAATATCGCAAAGTTCTCCTTCGCTGTGGCAGCAATAACCGGAATGTTACTTTTTGTATTTATCTTCACTTACAGCTGGTTCCATGATGATTTGTTACGCTTGTACGCTGACATCCCGTCTCCATGTGGCGGGGTTTTTCTTTAAGGTTTCAGCAGATGTTGTATTCGGTATGTACGACGTCAATAAAAATACTTATATTATATTATTATAATAACAATAAGATATATAACAAAAATATATATAATTAGTTAATAGTGAACATGAAAAACGGAATAGACCAATAATCAACTTTGTATACAATTTAAGGAGTTAGTCCCAAATGCCTCACAATTCTAAAAAATTTCATCTGTAACGAGTGAGACCTACCCACCATTAAATAACTGTGAAGTTAAATTGTTAAGGTTTGTACTTGCTGCCAAGAAATTTATGCTATGTTATAAAGCTTTAATCAACCTCTAGTTCCTGGGAATGGAAATAAGCCTACATAAGAGTAATCACAAAAAACAAGAACCAAAACATTGTGGTTGACCACGGGCGACCATTCAAATTTTATTTGTATTTGACTTACAACATCTCAGCAGAAATCCTCATGACAAATTACAGTTACAAATGCATAACGATTCGTAGAAACTAAAAAATTATTAATATCCAGACAAGTAATAATAATTTGTATTCAAGATTTAGATATAAATCAAATAGAGTTTAATTAAATTTATTTATTTGTATTATTTTACATTTTTTAAATGATTTTAAATTTCATTCATATACTAAATTGTACTTACCTTTTAAATGGTATTTCTATAGTGAATGGTGCTTCCATTTTAAGGATGGTGCCGGGTTTTTAGAGTTTGGGGTGCCCAAGTTTTTATTTATTTTTCTTGTTTTTAATTTTTATTACACTTAACACATGGTAAACTGTTTCTAGAGCTTTCATCAATCTTTGGAAAACACTTCTGCCTTAAAAGGAATACTTTAGAATTATCATCCACCCCTAAAGATTCTATTTAAAGCCTTCCTAGATATTTGATGATAGATTTGAGTGCTGCTTTATTCTTCTGCCAACTAGCGTTGTTTAGCCGTTTTCTGTGGAACACGTTCGTAAATGTTGTCATTGCACGAATACATCTATAGGTCCTCATCACCTCGGGACCGCCGGTCACCTTTCGTTGATAGCCGATTTTAAAAATGATGACGTTACTTTGTCTCCCAACCACTGCATTGCAACCTTCACCAGTGATCTGGAAATGATATGAAACACACACATGAGGGTTAAACAGCAACTATAAACAAAAACTTCTTACCTTTATAACATCTAAAGAGTAGAGGAAATTTTAAAAATGGCGAAAGGGTATGTCTTCTCCTACTGTTTCCTTTTACTCCACACTAAGCTGCATGATCAATTTATGGTCATCTACCCATTCAATAATCATTTATGCTTAGTTCACACTTTATTATATCTCCACATAATGTAAGCGTAGCTATAACCTAGTTAAGATCTATCCTACATGTTTCCACATGCTGCAAGTCAAGCTATGACCTAGTTAATATAACGCAATCTAGCTTTACATGTAACTTTAGTAGTAGCCTAGTTTAATTCCACTATTTTGCTTCAGTTAGCATAATAAGTTATTATATAAATTACCGACAACAGTTCAGTATAGTTAGATAGTAAGATAGTCAAATGTAAAGTACTCATTAATAAATAATCATCAAAACAAACCTTTTCATTGTGTTTTCACTACATACTAAAGATTTTATAATCATTTTTGTTTCGTATAAAAAATCGGTATTCATTTTTATTTAAAAGTTTTTGATACTATGTTGTGCACTTGTTAAATGCTTTGATTTGCCGCTAAAAAACTTTGTATGAAAGTAAAAAACGAACATGTATGGAGAATGGAGAGATCACAGAGTTGCTTGTAATAAATAAGAAAAATAGTCAAAAAGTGGCAACGCAGTCATCATTCAGCTCTGTTAAGTGGCAAATAAGTAGTGGACAACGCTGTTAAAATGCAAAGTAAGTAAGAAAGCTCTGTTAAATGTCAAGCAAAGATTTCAAAATCAAAATTTGCTCAATGAAAACATTTCCTGTCAAAAATTAGTCAACTGTAAAGATGAAGACTGCTTGCAAAAACGAAACGGAAATGAAACGCAATGTAAGATGATAATAATAATATAATAATATGTATATATACATATATTTGTGCAAAATTTTGTTTTGTATTATATTAAGCCATAATTATATGTATACATATTATAATATTATTATAATTGGCATTCAGTAGACGCAACATTATAGAAAATTTGGTTTTGCAGAAATATATCGTGATAGAGAATTTTTTACATATTCTATAACTTTTCCTTTCATCCCAAAAAAATTATAAAAAATTTGCTTCACAGTCCTTCTGAATATTAGAGGATATATTTAGTAATAACACTATGTTTATGGAACCAGGTAAAGGTTTCTTAATGTTACTCATAATTTACAAGTTTTACGTTTTTCTAAGGTTAATTGAAAATGTGAAGTCACTTGTTTATTTTAAAAGCATTAATACATGTATATTAAATGTTCGTCGTCAAAATCACTATCTATAAATTTGCAATGACAATTTCAAAAGTTATTGTGTAACTTAACACAGTGAAAAGAAAGTTTTTCAATAATTTTCTAAAAATTCATTTAGGTTATTTACCAATTATGTTAATTAATCAACAGTTAAATAGGTATCAAAAAAAATTTCTAACAAAAATATCTTTTACATTTACATTACATTACATTTGTCCAAACAAAATCACAACTTAAAAAAAAAATAATTCTCATAAAACGTAAAAAATTAAAGTGTAAAAAAGAGAGAGTACTATTAAAACATAATGGGTATGATATGTAAAATTGGATAACACGCAAAAATTTTAAAAATTAAATCATACGAATAGATTTATAAAATTTAAGCAACTTAACGTATGCTTTGACGAAACGCGCTTTGATTTGGTTTCTTGGATGCGGAACTAGGTTTTTTGGTTGTGTGTGGATCGGGAGCAAAACAATTCCATAATCGTAAAGTCTCATCAGCACCAGCACTAATAACAGTACTGCCATCAGGCGATAAAGCCAATTGTAAAACGCGCGAGGTGTGGCCAGTAAGTTCAGCTTGTTTAACCACGCTTGGATACTTCCATATAGTTAATTGGTTGTTTGCAAAACCATGAGCCGATATTAACTCCTTATATGTACGCGACCACAGTAGACCACAAACTTGAGATTTTGTATCTACCGAATTAAGTAAACTACCGTTATTGACATTCCAAAATTTTATGCACCTATCAGCCGTGCCGCCACCAGAAGCTAATACATTAGGCTGCCATGGGCACCAGTCCAATGCTCTCACAGCCGCTTGGTGCTGATTAAGGACGTGCAGAGGTTCATTAGCTGTACTTATACCGCCTTCATTAACGGCAGTCCATACATTAACTAAGTTGTCATTGCCTCCGCTGGCTAAATATTTATAGTCGGTTGACCATTTAAGTCCACACACTTCTTGAGTGTGACCGTTTAAAGTGTTGACTTTATGATCACGAGATCGTACATCGTGGTGTACGATTGCCCCATCGAGGCTACCTGATGAAACAAGATATGAATTCCAAGCGAGACTTCCGACCCTGGCCGAATGACCATCCATTACACGAAGACGCTTTACTTTAGCACAGTCCCACAATTCTACAATACCGCTTTTGTTGCCAATAGCAAGAATTTGCCCATCTTGTATCCAAGATAAAGCGCACGCATGGTCACCATCTTCATATTCTACCAATTCTTGAATGCTACCAGTACCCGCATTCCAAAGATAAACACAGCTGCCCAATGCTACTGTTACAATATTATCGGTACTCCAGTCCAAAAGGTTCAAATCTATCAAAAAAGATGAATAAGAAGTTAATGCTGGGGCAATTTTTGAGCACCACTAAGCATATTTTAAGCGCAGCACAGAGGCATTATCATCGTCGCAATATTCACAAAGCACGTCTACATTACTTAAGGAAATGTTTGTGCAAAATTTCATGTTGCATTTGACTTCCTTCGAGAGAAAAAAAAGCTTTAAAATTTTTAATATTTAGCAAATGCTGTGATTCTGCGATGAATCTAAATGTCGACAAAATGGAAAAGCGCTCTTTCTTTCTTTATTTTCCTTTTAGCGGGCCGCCGAATTTTAAAAGACGGACGGACGTAGGTAGCCTTGTTCAAATGTCTACGCTGAACAGAGTTTTACATGGGTGGGTATTACGATTAGCATGAGAAATTCGGTACACCATATTAATATCAAACATTACTCAGTTGATTAAGTTAAAAAATTACTTACAAAAATTGTTTATAATATCTGGAGCATCTAAAATGCGTTCTGAGGTGGTTGGTATATAACGAGAACCACTTTTCGTAGACAATGGGGTTTTTGTCGTGTACACTACTTTAAGAGGATTGACGTGAAATTCAGGAGCAGGTGGAGCCTTGTTCTGATACGAGAGAATCCTTGTAGTTTTACTATCTGCCACTTGCATAGAGTCTGATATCAATTTTCGATGCTCGAGCTTCGCCGGAGTCGGTTTATCATCGTTGGCGTTAGAATTGCCCTCATTTTCTTCGTCATTTTCTGATTTCTCTTGGTCTTGTTTCAACTAATTTGTCAACATTTTTCAATTTATGTATTTAAAATATTAATATGCAAGAACTAAAAAATTAAGACTTACTAAATAATGGCCCAATTCAAAATTGGTGGAACCTCTGTTTGGTATGAAACGATCACCGCCGCCTCCAGGCGTTTTGGGACCTTTGTTTGGAGTTTGGCTTTTCTTTTTTTTTGTATCCCATGATTTACCCGGCGTTTTTGTAGCTACGCTCGTACCCGACAAATTTGGGTTATAAGCGGCAGACAAACCCGATCTTGTAACATTTAAGCTAGAATTCGCCTCCGAAGCTTCTAATTTTTTTTGCCAACGAGGAACTGGGCCTTTAGTTAATTCACCGTCCATTGTTAGAGCACTGTTAATTTCTTTAAAAAAGTTAAATTGAGACATCATAAGCCGTCGAATTAATATTAGACAATTTATATATATATATATATTTTAAAACTATTAATCAAAATATAGACGCTTTTTTCTTAAACACCGATTTTATCTTTATCAAATTTTCTACAAATGGCGGTTCAAACAATCGAATTTGCGAGTAATGTTGCCAACATAACCGTAACAATATATGCTTCAAGGGCAGGAAAATTAAAGCACCTCTGAACATAACAAACCAGAACGATGCTGACCATCTTGAAAATTAAATAAACAACATAAACCTGTGCCTAGTTTTCAATCGAACAATTAATAACATGGTTTACCAAATGCTCAAATTAATAAAAAGATGAATTGCTGTTGAAGGTGGCCTTTATTTATTTGCTTGTGAGAATGGCGCTTGGAAAGAAGAGCATCAAGTGTTCAAAGTGCAATAACTTGGGTTGTAGGTTGCGAAATGTGTTTAACATGGCTACATAGCTCGTGTATTAGTGAAGGTATCTAGGGAAGATATTCTTAGGGCGAGTGATGATGGGCCACTTTCTGCTTTTTACAATATTTGTGCAGACTATAGGGGAGGGATGACGAGTTACAAATAGCATACCGCTAGTGTGAAGGCACGGAACCCTCCGACCTCCCTTGATACCGCTTACTTCAAACCCACGATAGATGAATTAACTGTGCAATTGCAGGTATCGATGAATGTTGCCTTAATTACCTTCAAATCGGAACTGAAGCTGAGTACTAAAGGGACGAAAGTTAATATGGAGTCTGGAGTGTGAACAAGGGGTTGATCAAATTAAGGATGTTGTGGATTGGTCAGGATTGGTGGCCATGAATGCGGAAGAAGAACAAGCAACTTACACCAAAAAGGAACTAGAACAAGCAACTTACACCAAAAAGGAACAAGAACAAGCAACCTACACCAAAAAGGAAGTTAATGCATATAGCAATGAGCGAGTGCGAGTCGCTGTTCATTGAGTTAGATATTGGAGCAGTGATCATTCTTTCTGTGGTAGTCTATTTACCGGGTGGTACCATTAGGGTCTAGTCATTTACTAAAAAACGAAGTACTCATTATTGTTGGTGATTTTAATTGCAACCTCTAGAACTAAAGCTATTGTTATTAGATCTGTTTGCTCGAGTTGTAAGCTTAGCACACCAAACTACGTCACTACTTGACATTTGCTGGTCAGTGATGATGCCTTGCTTAACTATTCTAATCAGGTGCAATGCCTTTTTTGGCTTATCATGCATTAATCTATGCCAGCTTTACGATCAAGTGTAGATATTGATTGGGGTGGGCTCTCTACTTGTGTAGCTGAGTTGGATTCAACCATTTTTCTGAATAACGCGAGCGTGATTATAGTTTTTGTATTCGCTTTTGAAATCGTTTTTTTCCGCGGTTCAGAAAAGTAATTCCCAGGAAGTCTGATGAGTACGCGACTTTTCAATCTATTGGATCTATAGATGATTGCCAAGTTTATTGCTGTTACCGGGATAAGGCCAAGAAAATTGTTCGTAAGGAAAGAAGAAAATATTTTATCATCTAGTTTGTGGTTAGGGACTCTTCTACTATATGGAGGGTGTTAAGAAGGTCTTGTAACATTAAGAGGAATCACTCTCCGTTTACTTTGCTGCGGAGGAGGTGAATGATCGTTTTGTAAATGTGTCGAATTGTGACTTGACAGTTGATAGTGAACCTAGGACAAATCTGAAGTTCCGTGAATCTCATTCTCATCATGTCGTGAGCTAAATGTAGTACTACACAAAATTAAATCTAAATCAATCGGTGATGATGGAATTCCTATTCTGTTTATCAAACTTATCTTTCCGTATGGTAATTCTATATTGGCTCAATCGGATTTTCTCTTCTATTGGAAGTGTTGTGTTTATACCTAAAGTTAAAATTGTCCATTCTATTGATGATTTGAGACCTACTTCAATTCTTCCGGTTATTTCCAAAATTTTAGAATATACTCTCATGGACCAGACTCTTTCTGCTGTGATGAGACTTATTTCACCATCCTAGCATGCGTTTTGTCAGAAGCATAGCGCCACGGACCTATTAATAGACATAACTGATAATATTAGGAGTAATGAGAACGGTTCTCGTCGCTGAATCTACCGAAGGCATTTAACAATGTCAATCACCCGGGATTTATTATGAAGCTAGCTGGGTAGTTCCTAAATCGGCGTGTAAGCTGGTGTACTTAACTGCTGGTGTAATTAACTGAGAGATCTTAATTTGTTGACATCAATGGTGTTATTCGACCACCTGTCGGGTATATGTCGGGATATCCCAAGATTAGCGCCTTTGCTTTTCATGCTGCGCGTTGATGACTTGCTGGTCTCATGCGTAATAACTTGTGGGAGAACTGGAACTACCTATCCTTGGATTTACGCATTTTTTCGCACTTTAACAACTCCTTCCGGATTAAGCTATCTTTACCAAATTTGTAAAGTGGATAATATGTTAATCGCTTATATTACTGAAGACTGTATTTCCATGATACATTGGATTCTCAGAGTAGGTGGCATGCTGTTAACTATGATTAAGTTTCGAACATGATTATTTGTATATACCCAGTGCTAAGTTTAAACTTAAACGTTTCAGTGCGAATTGTGCTGTGTGTTAGCTCTAGTTACTTCAATACATTAAATTGGCCCTTGAAGGCCTTTGTATTATTTTCTGAATGCATATAAATAAACATATAAAAAATAAATAAATGCGTTTAACAATGTATCAATTAAATAGTTTTGAAATCAGTTCGCATGTTACATTTGCATGTTCGCTAGTGAATGCTTTCCAGAGTTGTTAACTTCATTTGGGTCGTGTTTCGGTATATTAAACAGCTGTGATAAGTTATTTAAGTTATTTAACAAGCATTGTTATTAAAAGAATTCTTAATAGAATGGGATTTTTTACAAAAGCGGAAGCTAAAGCCCAAGAAAAAATAGATACATCGCCAAAACCTGATTCAACGTCCAGCGACAAGCCTAAAACTGAAACAAATTCCCACAATGACCAAGACAGTACCCCTAAAGAATGGGGTTACGACTTATATCCAGAGAGAAGAAGCGAAGGTTTTAAGCCAAAATGGTCGCGTGTTTTTTTGGGTCTAGAAGGTCATGAAAATATCGATAAACTGAAATGTGAACGTAACGTTTATTGGTGTGCCAAAAATAGTCCACTAGTCAAACTTATGATGGGTGCTTTAAAAAGTTCTGGTTGCCCAATCGATTTGCGTAGACATATCTCTTGTGAGGTTTGCGATACTACAGTTACCGGTGGTTATGATCCTGTCTTAAATCAAATTGTGGTTTGCCAAAATATGGCGAGAAAACAAGGCATGGTTCAGGGCGTGCTTACTCATGAAATGATTCATATGTTTGATTATTGCAATAATGAATTAGATTTTCGTAACATTGACCATTTGGCTTGCACGGAAATCAGAGCAGCTAATTTAGCTCATTGCTCGTTTTTGAGTGCCATGATGCAAGGTGATGCTTCGCTTTTTAACATTAAACAAGCGCATCAGGTGCTGCTAAGAAAATGACACCCAGTGTTACAAGCTGCTTATCTTAACATATTTTATTTATAGAATTGTGTTAAGACCAAAGCTTTGGCTTCCGTTTTGGCTGTGCGTAATGTGTCACGTCAAGCTGCCATTGAAGCAGTGGAAAGAGTCTTCTCTAGATGTTATAATGATTTGGAGCCTATTGGGCGCCGCATTAGGCGTAATTCTCCTGATCAGCATAGAGCTTATTTGGAAGGACCTATGTACGGTTATGATGTTTATTAAATTTTTATTTTTTTTATGAAATTAATTTTTTTTTATAACAATTTTAATAGAAATATAATTTCGTTTGTTTATCGGCAATGTTTGCCTCGTTATTTGTCGCATTCTTGTGCATGGCGTGCATGCATGGTGTAATCATCATGTGATTAAGAATAACACAGAAATTACAATATCTTGAACGAATAATAAACCATCAATTCAGTATATTTTACAGACTCAGGTGGGGAATTTGGTAGAGATTTTTGCAGTTCCTTCTGTAGGGAGCGCATGTAAAGACGGTACTCTGAACTTTTGATGCTGAGGGAATAATTTCGTTATGTAATTTTTGGTGATAAAGCTATGAAAACGTATTGAAAATGTAATAAAAATGGTGACAATTATGAATTCCTTGGCTTATGTCGTATATGGAATGCTTGAAGATACCAAAGAATACTAATATATGTAAATTATAAAAACAATCAAGAAAACTGAGGTTTTCTCGAATTTTACATCAAAATCATCTGAAATCGGACAAAAATTCTTGGTTAAGAGCAAATTTGTCAATAAAAACGACTGGGAAGAGGAGGTTCTTTTATTTGCAACAAACCTTTTTTTTTATATATACTTAATTACTCCAAATTTGATTTACTGTTAAAGAACCTGATGGGTGATCGATATGCACATCATCGGTAATTATTTTAATCCTACTAATTTCTCTTATGCACATAAACTTACTTTAAAAACAAAAATCAGAAAATTCAAAAAATACGCTCTCCTCAAGTAAAACTTCGGTTATACGAAAGTATAAAAACCCAACTTTTCATTACAGATATATATATATATATATTGATATATATATGTATATATATATTGAGATATATATATATATATATATTGAGATATATATATAGATATATATATATATGTATATATGTATAGATATATATATATTTCTTCCTTATTTAATTTGTGTTATCTATTACAACTCCTTATATAGGAATGGACTAGAGACTAAGCGGAATGGTGTCGCCGGAAGCGGAATCATAACAGGTCAGATACCATAAAATGAACCCAAAAGGTCCGTCTGCTTCTTTGCCTTTGAAGTATCTGCTGTCCGTGGTCCCTCACCGCCATGTCCATTTAACTTTTTTATTTTACTCTATCTGCGTTTTTAACTTTGACGTCCTTGAGCACGCGTTAAGTTTAAAATAACTGTCCGCGTCAATGAAGAGCAGCAGACAAGTGAAGTGGAAATAGATGCGTGCGTACTCGATATATATATAGTAAAAAAATTAAATGATTACAGTTGAGTTTGTATGCTACATGCAAATCCAAAAAACAATATATTGTGACATTGCTGAATAATATGGAGGCAGAACAAGTTAATATGCTTTACTATGTAAGAGATTTTTCTTTTGCAAACTCCCTTTCAGTATTTTTTGTGACTAGCAGGCAGCTGTATTTCTTGCAAGAAATTTCACAGTCAGCGAAAGCACGGTCTCACAAATGCTAATGTTGAAATAGATGCAGATGTGTTAATGCAGCCTTTAACTGACCGAAATTATTACAAAGGGAATTGCGATTAAAATTATTGGAAATAGTAGATACTGTATGAGACTAATATACCGATATTTAAGTAAAATTGGGCGTGGCATATCGAATATCAGAAATATGTTGTTTTAAATTGATAGCACTATGACAGCCAAATGTACACTACGCACACGACTCGGAAAGAACGGATGAAGCAAGCGGATATTGTGCAAAAGGTGAGCAAGAGCGTGAAAACCGCGCCAAAATCGTTAAAAAATTAAACCAATGTTGACAGTTTTCTCCGTTTTTGGTGGTGTTCCGTATTAGGAATTCCTTCCACCAGGTCAACCCTTAACGAGGAATATTATTGGATTTTGACGATTGCTTTGAAGACGATTTGGAAAAATAGTTTTAAAAAAAAAAAGAAAAATGAAAAATTGGTCTTACTTTTTGGACACGGTGTATATGAACTTCTTTAAGCTATGCATTAAAATTTCACTTATGTGAAAGTTATATTTAAGGACAAAACCCGCTTAGTTTGCGTTGTAAATTTGTTAAATGTTCATATTTACATACACACGTTACTTTTGATTTCTTCAATCAAAAAACAACATTACACAAAACCGAATAAACCAAGAATATGAAAGAAGTCGAAAGAATGAGTATAGAAACTTGAATAGCGAGTAGAGAGGATAGATTTGATTTGGTTCGTTCGTTTTACGAATAAAGATTTTCGACTGTTTGTGGATCGACATCTAAAGTTATGATATCCATTTTTTTATGAAATAAAACCATTATCTCCTTTCAAATCAATTTTTATAAAGAAATTATTTTATTTGTTCAGCGCCAACGGTTACATATATTTAACGATTATTTGATTAAAGAGAAAGAGAAAAAAAAAAAAAAATGATAAGTAATTAGATTATTCAAAAAAATTAAATTGACACAAGAGTAGTAACCAATAATATATCAAAATATCAAAAGTAATATAAAGGAAACTTTCAAACTAATACTTATGAACCTATAAAAAAAATCACATTCTTTGAAAGTTAAAGGAAAAAATATAAAAGTTAATTTCATATATTTTAAATACTTAATACTAAGGTACAGTATTCGTGGCAATAGCGATGGGCCAAGTAACTGGACCCCTTAGAACAACATCGGCCATGTGTTCTTTAATTTTAATGAAACGTCTCTTAAACTCTAACCCGCAGCCTTTCGATAGGCGAAAGTCTAGTAAAATTTTACCGTCCATTTCGATAATATAAGCTTTGAAAAGTAAGCGTAATTTACGTCTATCTATGGTGGAAATTGTTACCGTCATATTGTCTTCACTGAGCTTGCATGTATAACCCAAACGTTCAATGGTGGCCGTTAGGCATTTAACGGTCTCCGCATAATGCGTGGTTACAAAGAAGCGTGTCATACGTCTCACTAGACGTTGGAAGACATTTTGCGAGGCGGACTGAGTTTGATTCATTTGCGTGCAAAGTAATAGATCATCTAGCATGGCAGGCTGGGAGAAACAGAAATTTAAACGATGTTCTTGAGGATCATCTGGAGGTTTGAACACATGACCGCTGATCACTGGCAATGGTTGCGAGCAGTAGTTACGCGTTATCGAATCATCGATATTATGACAACTGTGATAATTCGATAATTGTCGTTGACGTTTCGCTTTCGGAGAGCAAATCTCTAAGGCAGCAGCTGAATCGACCAAATCTCGTGACCGATCTAAAGAAATCCAAAAACAAATGAAAAATGTATAAAGTTTATTTAAAAATATATTTTACATACATATTTATATTTATATTTAATAAATAAAAAAATAAATAATAAAAAAATGATACATGGAAATAAAGCAAAAATCATTTGGTTTTTGGTAATAAAGCTCTATGGAATATAATTGTAAATCATACAGCTAAAATCACCAAAGAGCAAATAACATGCAAAAGAAATAAAACAAAGGAAAATTAATGTATAATGAATATTAAACAAGTAAATGCTTTCTTTACAACAACAACAACAACAACAATAACAACAACAAAAATGTATAATGTATAATGTATAATATGCACACGTAGACGACAATAGTCTAGTAATTCTCTAATTGAGAAAATTACTGCAGTTGTAGGCGCATTTTCAATGCTTTGGTAATCTAGCTTTATGAAGGTATCAAATCTATCATACAGCTAAAGCGCCAAAGCAATGAAATATAACATGCGCATAGCACACATAAACGGCCCAATTACGGCACCGTTACAGTTACGACGGCTACGGCGACATTTTTTTATTGCTTGTTATAACCCGATTTTTTAAAAGAAAAAACTGAAATTGGAACGAAGATCCAATTCGTTGAAAAATCGAGTAAATCGTTTGATTTTTCCTACAGGCAACCTGTAAGTAATCTGTTTTATTAAATCATAAGTTACAGACCCATGAAGTTATGTGGGTAAAACTTTCTAAAATTAAATTTTTTGTATCCTACACCATAGGTGTCAAAGATATATGGAATTCGTGCGCATGTTTGCGACACGCAGAAAAAGTTGAGATAAATTCACCTTCTATTATACCCGATCGATTCGCAATTAAACTTGTCTGCCTACTACATTTTGATTAAATTTAGTACACTGACGTGTTTAGCCGAAGGACGAACGCTACTGAAACTTCTCATATGATGCTTTATTTTGAAAAGTCGTTATATAAATAATTGTATTAAGCCAAGTGTTGCAGGGTGCGTAAGAGATGGTTGCCTGCTGCGCACTATAGTGTTTTTCCTTGTTTTGATTAATAATTGTTGGATGTTTTAGGTTATTCTATGGTGAACGACAATCTACTATAGTCTTTTCACTTTATAAGTACAGTAAAAGCATCTTATTCGCACTTCCTTCATTCGCGAATTAAAAAAAATGCGATCCATTTCCTATATTCGCGGCCATAAATTTCCGCGATCGGTATTTTTGAGAATGTAAACAAACAGAATGAAAGCAACCTTATTACTCAGTGAATAAAGTATTTTTTTATATATTTAATATTTTTATTTTGTCACCTAGGAACGTATCCCCTATAATCCCATATAAATTACCATTCCGTATTCACGGTTTCTATATTCGCGGCATATTTATGAAACATGTACCCCGTGAGTAAAGAGCTTCAATCGTACTTACTTAAATTGTTGCTCGGTTTAAAGCTAAAAAATTCGATTTAAAGGGATTGCTGGCTGATATAATTAAGAAAAAGTTGCATGCGATTTATTTATTTCGAAGCAAATCACAAATAAAAGTCATATTCGTTTCGAAGCCATATGATTGTTGTAATTAGCGCACATTTTATGTACGTTTGGACGGAATCTATTGAAAACTTTTTATGCGAATTGTACGAGAAAAAGTTGCGCACACGTCGCAGTGTATTAATGGAATGTGGAATGTGTTTCCTTACTTATTTTTTTTTGTCTCATTAACTTGATTGCTTTTATTACTTTTTGATAAAGATATTTAGGATTAAAGCAGCCAATAGAAAGCAGATGAAAAACATAGCATGCTAAGTAAGCATAAATGTCCTCTTTTAAAGGGAAATGTATAAATTTGAGATGAAAGGTTCCGATTGTGGGCAGAGTGTTGGGTTTAAGATCTAAAAATATTCAGCTTTAAATACCGACAAGATATATTATATACACTTTATCAAGCGAGCTTATAAGCTTTACTAATGATGAACAAACTCTTACTATTATACTCCTTCAATAAATGTTGTCATTGTGAATTCAGACTTTAAAAATGAAAACATTTTGCTTCATATCAATGTAATCAATTTCTTAAATCACAATTTTCATAAATAGCGTCCTTTCTGAAAAATACTTAGCGATAGCCGGACGAGTTGTATCGGATTCATTTTTTATTAATTGATTTTTGAATTAATGCTTAGCCGTTCTATTTTCAAAATGTTATGTTCACAATATAACGATTTGTTGCTTTTAGAAAACTTTCGTGTAGGTACAGAATGACACTCAAACCATTCAATACAATCATTGAGAGTCACTAAGTACCTGTACAAATGTGTTCCTTCTTTGTTTTTTGTTTTGTTACGTTTTCACTTCAAATGTATTCAAAAATATGTTGTTTCTCTTTTGATAACCGCGGCAGACAACACTAATCATAAAATGATGGGATTGTAAAAACTTACCGTTATTCCTAAGCTGCATTTTACACCATTTATGTTCAAATATTTTCTCTAAATTCATGCGATAGGTGGGATTTATAGCCAACACTTTCCGTAGCAACGATGTAACCAATGTATCCAATTTACTCCACGGCGTTTGAGTGGACCAACGATCATTGTCCTTCCAATTGGTAAACTCCGTACAGCCAGACGATGGTTGATCCCAAGGTAACTCTGTAAATATTTGTAAATTTATGAAGAAAAAGAGGGAAAAGTTTTTAAAACTGTTACTTTATAAATTTAATTGAAGGTATATAACAAACTAAACAGTGCATACCAATAAAAAAAAGGAAGAAACAAATCATATTTTGCTTTAATTTAATAAACAAAGTGCAGCAAGCAATTTAAGCTGGAGCTTTGGTATAAAAGCTTTAGATGATAGTTTATTATGAATCTACAGCTAGAATACCAAAGAACCAACCAAAATGTATGGATTATTTGTTAACAAAAATATGAAACAGTGATAAATTATGTGATTGATGGTCAGGTGTGACGGTCTGTTGATGATATCTAACATATATATATGATTTTTTTTTTTTTTTGTAATAACCGCCATGGACGCATTTTTTCTAAGTGCTTCAAAATCGACATTGATTAATTGTTGTTATTTATTATTACATATATGTAGCATATAGGCGCACACCTATCATGCAAATTAGTTAATAATAAGATGCTCACGAATGAATTCTGTGCAATGGATGCAAACATTTCATGATAGTTTGGATATTAGTAAGGCTTTAAACCTAAGCAAAAGAGTATCATTATCAATCATCTGGTTAATCTCGAAGAAAAAACTTTGTAAACTGAAAAGAATCAATTTGCATAGAATTCTTTTAAACCACGTTTTCGTCTATGGTAAATTTTTACACCTAACCTGTCTGGAAAGTGTGTACTGATGTTACATAAATTTATTATTGCTATCATTATTTCATTCTTTTAAATATCATTATTATAATTTGTGTGCGCAAAAACATATATTCTCGCATTCAAGTAAATAAGTACAACTAAGTCTATCGGCTCTATTTAAACTAAGTAGAAAAACATTACAGTAGGACATGGCATAACATTGACTATCTTACATCACTTGCTTCAATAAACAAAAGTGGGCTGATCCGAACCATTCTCAGCAGCGTTTCGTGCCTAGTGTAAGGCACATCGGTGTACCGAATGTCAGCAAAAGTTGCGATCTATAGGCTGAATACAAAAAATTCATAAAGAGAAATCAAGCGGGTAGACAAGTTTAGCTCGATTCGCAAAGTGATTGTGAATTGATCGGTATAATAAAAGGGCGGATCTATCTGAAGTCCTTCTTCATCCTCGCTCCTAGTATAGGGTTCCAGTACACAGCTGTCATTATCGAGCAAGCTCTATACATGTCGACTCGCTGCTTGGAGTAGTGAGTTTACAGTACTCGATAAGGCATGCATTTTTCTTACTGTCCAAAGAAAAAATCTTTTGATTGTAAAGTTGCGGTCCATTAACGTAATCAAATCATATTCAAGTTTGCTCGATACCGATAGCTGTAAACCGACGGTAGATATCCAGTCTAGTAATTTTAATAAAGTCAGACGTTTTATTGATATTCGACAGTTACGTTCACATTGCCAATAGGATTAGTCATTCCGAATGTGAAGTTTTCAATACGTGATTAACTGTAAGATTTTGACCATAATTGCATGATTGCACCCTGCCCCAGTTGGCGAACAAGGGCGTTTTAAGTTTATGCGAATGTATGCAACGCCCACAGGCATTTAAGATAGACCTACCATTTATTATACCGGTCTCTGAACCGATTAAAGCTTGTCAGTCCGTCAAGTTTCCTCCTGTTTAACCGACAGGTCGCAATTTTGGAGATATTTTGATTAAGTTTGCTACACTGAAATTTCTTGGCCCATGAAACAACCCTATTGAAAATGATTCGGATGGGACCACTTTTTCGATCTCTTCTTACAGAACGTCTTATTTTGAAAAGTCATTATGACAGACATGAATAGTAAGGCAACAGTGGAGAGCCGTAGCTTGCCATGGGGCATCCCCTTTGGATTCATTTCGGTTTACCCTTTAAAAACAAATGTATGTAGTATTTATGTCATAAGCTAAGAATTTAACATTCAAAACAAGGGCATTTGTTATTATCCTTCATTTATTTTCAATTTTTCTGAAAGCTTGCAGGTTGTCTAAGTTATTGTCGTTATACCAAGAACAACAGTATGTGACGGCTCCGCACTTCCCTAGCCATTTCTATTTTGATTTCTATTTCTATTTACTTTCGATAATACCGTTCATTAAAATATGATCTCTACTTGTTTTAGTTTCCTATTTACTTTTTTCTTCCTTCTCATGGTCTTCGTGGACCGTGTACTTTTCTTAAACTTTTTTATAGATATTCAATACAAAATTTAATAATAATAATTTCTTTCTGCTTTCTTTCTTAAAATAAAACTTTCTTTGTTACCTTCTATTCTTTCTCAATTTTTCTTTTTTAATCCTAACCTATATTATAACGTTATTTAAATTTATATATTACATCCAGTGTAAGGTTTTCCAATTATCTCTCATATGTAACGATGATACTAGTAGGTGTAGTGAGCTATTGTTTTATAAAAATATAATTTTAAATTGCAAATAAATAAATACTAAATAAGAAATTTAAAGCGAAGCTAAGACGTAGTGGGTATAAAAGATTCGTTTCCGCTTGAGTATTATTTTCGCAGTGAGTTTTGTGGTTTGACCACATCCAATAACATGTTCCTTATTGTGCCGGTATATTCCATTAGTTCACTCTTTTTAATATATATAGTTTTTTAGTCATCTCATTCCCATATTTGCATATGTCGTTTCTCAGATGTTATTCGCTTCATCAATTTCTCATTTGTGAACAGCAAAGCAGAGTTTTCAAGGAATAGTCAATACTGTTTCCAGTTCCGCGAAGAGTATCTCATCTCTGATGCGTTTACACCCGCCACGGAAGGGTGAAAGTACAGCCATTTTTTTCAAAATGTTTGCAACACCCGCAAGGAAACGGTCCGAACACCTTATAAGGTGTATACAGTCTTGATCGGCATTAAGATCTAAATCGGTTTAAGTAAGCGCCTCTGTCCGCCTAGCAAATATTCTTTTGGGCGCCAAAAATACTGGAAATTCTCGCACGAAGATTGGTGCTGAAAATGGGGCCCAACATTTCCATTTGCGAGGTTTTTGCTAATTACACCTAAGCTACATAGACGCACGATAAATATTTCCAGGTAAATTCGGAAAAAATTGGAAAAATCAACATGTCCCAATCAATACTATATGGACTATGGAAATGTGGTCTTTTTTCCTTCCTTTTTCAGTCTTTATATCTTACACCATAGGCGGTAGAGGGGATATCAGGTTTGTGCGGACGTATATGTCACTGAAAAGGGCCTAAGAGGCAGCCACCTAGATAGATCCAAGCCAGCCTGTCCGACCATCCGTCTGTCCGTCTGATCTTGGCCCATGTAAATTTGTGCTCAACCTACTTTTGAGATATTTTCATAAAATGAAGCACACTGACAGATTTCGATGCAAGGATGAACGTTATTGAAAATGTTTCGGATCGGACGGCTTTCTCGACCACTTCCCATGTGCATTATTTTGACAAGTCGATTTATGCATAACTGTAGAATGATGCGGGTTATTTACTGATGGGCCGTCCCCGTCTATTGTGTTTTTACATGGTTTGTCTATGACATTATGCCAAATGCAAAATTTGGAGGCGTAGTAAGTATTGTATCGAGTTTTGCTTACCAATTTAAACTTCAGTTCCTACATAACAAACTTCAAATTGAAGAAAACATTTCAACGAAAGGCGGCAGTATATATTTCCATGAAGAATTTGGGACTTTTTGCAGCTATCTGATGAAATTATAACGCCCACCAACATTTGTTAAGATTACACGAAGAGACAACGTTGGCAAAGCGGTTCATGGCGTATTCATACTTAAGTTTATACCCTAGACGGTTATAGAAATCTTCCGTTCGTTAGGATAAGCGAATTCAAGAAGAGAATTTTTGAATTATAGAAAGAATTGTAGTGTCTTCTTACATTTACCTAGGAATCGGAATTATGGTAACTCGTTTCGAGGAGTAATTTTAAAAACTTGCTTAATTCCCTTCCTCCCTAGTAGTATTTTGTTTCTGTGAACGCCCCCACCAGTAAATCTATTTCGACATTGTGCCGTTAAATGTCTTAAATTACTTTATGTATGTTAATGAACGACAAAAGAAAGAAAAACAAACAAGTATAGCAAATCAAATTCCGTATTAATTACAAGAGTTAATATATATATACATGTGAATGCATTTTTTGTCACATTTTTATGTGCAGGCAAAATTTTAAATACAGTCACAAAAACACACGAACACAAAAATATTACGCAATATACATAAAATTTCGCTTATAATAGCATGCTTACCGCCAGCCAGCATGGTTACCAAGATAACTCCACAAGACCATATATCAGCAGGTTGTGCATGATAGGGTTTAAGCAGCACTTCGGGTGCCACATAAGGCAAAGTACCGCAACGATTGTCTAAAAGCCGCTCTTTACCTTTACATCTAAAAGCAATAATTCATTATATATAATTATTTAAGGCATTTACTTGAAAGACAAAGTGAATTTCATCACGCAAAAGCCAATCTGTGATCAGGAAATGGAAGGAAGAAAAATTAACCTTTAATTTTACTAAGTTTCAAACAAAGCACCATCTGTCGTTGTTTCGGCGAATTTTTGCAAGAAGAGGAAGGACGAAAAATCTGTGACGAAGTAAGGGCATTCCCTAAGTTAAAGGAATGTTCATTTGCCATACAAAGAATCACTCAGCTTAGACCAAATCTTCTATACCCACCAAATATATGGAGCTTACAAGGTCTTTCTGAAGCTATTTTGCACACTTTTGCCTTATCATGTATTTCTTTTTATCATCTCAAATAGTTTCTTAAATGTTCAAGGAGGATATGTTTCAAGTGAGGTAACCCTACTGAGATATACGTTTTTCCAACTAGTCATATTCCTAGATCTTTCGTATCTCAATTGACTGATTTCAAATTTAAACTATAGATCCATAAATAGTAATATAAAAAATTAATTCTTTCGCAAATATTTCAATCGCAATTTTCCTTTGAATCATTGTTTTTAAGAAATACTACATCCTTTCACTTGATGGTGAAAAAATTCCAAAAAACTTATACGAGGTGCTATAGAAAATGAACAGCTACCTTACGTCGTTCTGTTTTTAAAACATTATTATTAAAAAAAAAAAAAAATGTTTTTCAATATTTTAACAAATGCGGGAAACATTGATTGGAATTTCGAGAAAATTCTTCATGATTTCCTACTAACAAGATAGCATTATCTCTTTAGAAGGTAAACGATTCTAAGAGTTGCGAAAAGGAGTCTTTCGATATATATACATATTTTTTTTTTTTTTTTTTTGAGCAAAAACAATGGAATAGTGAGGTTTGTGTCAGCTATTAAGCATATGATTACTTTTAAGTGTGAGAAAAGTATTTATTTTTAAAAAATACTCTGCCGCAAGCCGTGTAACTTGTCAAGCAAATTCGAATATAATTCACTAGATTCTAGGTTATTTAACCTAGCGAAAGGAACTTAAGAAGCTAGCTCACAATACTTTCTTAGATGTTATTATAGTTCTTGGAAATATTCTTTGATCACAGATATGCATACACAGAAATATAAGAAATTTAAAGAATATTTGATTTTTCAATTAATTAGATATGATATATTTTGTACCTAAATACCTAAACATGGTAGCCATTCCAAAGTCAGATATTTTGATATTATCGTGTTCGTCCAATAAAAGATTTTCGGGTTTGAGATCCCTATGAGCTATGCCGCGTTGATGCAAATACTGTAGACCGGATAAGAGTTGCGTAAAATAGCGTTGTGCCTCATGCTGGGGCATACCAATATCGGGTTCTGCAAATAAACACAAAACATGCAATAAACTAAATTAAACTTATATATACAAGCACACAGATATCAAGTAAAAATATAGTTGTAAGCATCATGTATTAAACAATAAAATAAATAAAGTGAATTGAAATAATAATGTCGTACAAATTAATTTTTTACTAAACAACGGCACGCCTCACAATGTCAGTAACGCTAAGAAAATCAACACGCAATGTATACTCTAGGACGAATGTCAGAAGCATTTCTTTGTCTGCCATTTTCAGTGAGGAGCAAAGTACTTAAATACGTCACAGGCAGGCGACTATAAAAATGAGAGCTCTACAGTTTATGGGCTCTATGAGAATTACTCCGCTATTTTTTATCGCTGTGACTGACCGAGTAGATAGACATAGCAACTAGCAATGAAGCGTTTGCGGATTCAGATTTCAATTGCGGTAGAATTTACTTTGATCACAGATATAGTGAGTCCTTAATCGGTAGAAGCATAACGCTTATTAATTGGGCATACTCATCCTCTCTCTCTCTCTCTCTCCTTTTTTTGCGCAACTTTTTTCTAATCATCACCGTGTTACACGCATGGTGGATAACCCCTGAATGTTCCGTCACGTTAAGAAAAAAAAAAGGTCTCAAAAGAAGTGACAACTGACCTACCTCTCCACGCTATCACGCCACTTCTTTTTTGACCGTTTGGTTGAATTAGGTATTTACAAAAGTAGATCCGTTGATTTGTTCTTTTATGCAACCCTAAATTCTCAAAAAGTTTGCGTCTAGCAATAATAAAATTGAGCCGTAACAGGTCTGTGACGTCGTTAGCGGCGTTCTAGGCTGTATGCGCGCTGTAAGAAAAATATCAATCTGTGTTTGCTAAACACCGGGAGTACTTAGCAAACCATTGATCTGAAACTGTTCACGTAAACCAGAAATTCCCCGTAAGTGTAAGTCTTTAAATCGTAGTGACTAGGTACAAACCTTCCTTCTCGCTCTTGGCTTCTGTTCAGACCGCTTGTCGTTGTTGTCCGTCAATTACCGACAATGCGACATGCCCAACAGTGGTCACTGTTTAACGTACTTCATTTGATGTTTTTTACATTATATTATGTTTAGCGTAAGCTGAACGAACTAAATTACTTGGAGCAAGCAAAAGTTGTAACAATATCTCCTTTTTATGGCATTTCTGATATTTTACGCATTTCGTCTTTCTTTCTGGTTGTGGGTGGGAATATGGGAGACTTAAACTATAATTAAAAAGATATTCTTCTTATGAGAAGGAGTATGTGTGTTATAGACGATCAGACAAGTTTAGCATGCCATGCATTCTTCGCTGATGGGTCAACAAATTAACTTTTAAGTTTAACAAAACAACAAAGAAAAATGCAAAAACAATAACCACTAAAACTTTTTAACTTTATGTTGTTTGCTATAAGAGCACAAATTAATTTAGCTCATGGTCGTTCAAAGCGCCTTTCATAAACCATATTATGTACGCGAAAGTAAGGTGCGGCTTACGAATTATGTAAATAAAATCTTTCAATTTATAAAGATAGAGATAAATTATGTTTGGATCTATTTGTCTTCTTACTAAAAGAAAGCTGTGGCCTGCTCTTAGTCAGATACATGCTCATGATCGTGAAAGTATTAACTGAGATAAAGCAAAATTTTTGTTTCCTTTCAGAGATTGTTTTAGCTTTCTATAGTAAGATATATAGAATATTAATACCTTATACTGACGAGGAACGTAGGATTTACTTATTTCAAAGATTGATGCTATGTGATGTTGCTGCAATTATATGTACATGTATCTGTATACACACTGTATGTGTATATACATTTTTATATATAAAGCACACATCATTTGAGATACAAGGGTATATGAGTAAGTTTGTGCAGAAGTATGCAACACCCAGAAAGACTTGAAGTGGACCCACCTTTCACCTTCACGTACTGAATTGACGTAAACTTGCCTGTCGGTCTGTCCGTCTTAAATTCAACCTTCAGGTCGCATTTTTTGAGATATTTTCATGAAATTTGGGGGATGAAAATGATTCGGATCAGAACGCGTCTTCTACCATTCCCTTAAAATGTTTTATTTTGAAAAGTTGTAACCATTATAATGATTTTGCTTATGTTATCTATATTTATATATTTTCTACATTGTACATACACCCTGGTCATGACCCGTACAATAACCTTCAATATCCAAAAGGACTTTATTACTTGATCTAAATTTTTTTTGGCCGAAGTATCCTTTTAAGATTTGTCAACAGATAATTCTTGCAGGATTTTCCATCTGGAGGATACGGTGGGTCGGGCAGCAATTTAAACTTCAATTCATGCACTCTTCCCGTTGAAGATATCGACATGTTAGGCTAGGGGTTTCATTTTCGCTATGACCACAGATGGCGCCCAACATGCGATCATCCCTCACAGGCCTGAATCTTAATTCAATATAAGACAAACATGTTCGCTTAACGTGTTTATAGTGTTTGCTATCTCATTAATTCGACGATCTTTCAAAGCGCACCATTTGAACACTGAACATGGACCTGAACGTTCGTCGTTGCCCAAGCTGGCACGATCGTGAATAATGGTACAGAGTTCTTACATACAGCGTTCAATCGTATCTTATTAATCACAAGCCCATTATTTCCATTTTCACAAAACAATCAAACCATCGCAAAATTATTATTAAGCGACTAGGAGTACGTATCGATGCATACGTAAACTTTCTCAGCTTTTCAGCACAAGTGATGCCATCTTCATGTTCGAGTCTCAAACTTTCTAGCCAACCTACGTACATGTAATAATTTTGTAGTTCATTGCATCAAATGCAGTAATGGGTGACGCCTACGCATTGTATTGTGTATTCAGCTCGTTAATCATAAAGGGCTTTGCTTCTCACCTATTCTCGGTGTGGAACATTTTCATTCAATGTGGCCTAATAAAGTGAAAAGTTTGGATAACAATGACATAAATGGTTAAAAATGTCAGCCAACGAACGCTATACCGCGTAATACCACACAAGAACACAATAGCGCAAACGCCATCAACAAAATTAGTTGAAAATGGAAATGTACAAGAACGCATAAATTCATATACATCCTCAGTCTAAAAAGTAAAATGAAAATAAATAAGGAAAGTAAACAAAAAAGAAACAAGAGTGAACCACAATACGAAAGGTTCAGAGTAAGTCGTTTTGTATGGTAACTACAGCAACGAAAAATGAGAAAAGTAATTGATTTTTTATTTTAATTTTTTTATTTAGTTCGGGAATGAATTTTTTTGTTTTTTTTTTTACAACAAACAATTAAAAAATAAATAAATAAAATCAACTACAAGTCAGAAAATGCAAATTCGTAAAAAAAATTTACTTTGCATACAATAATCTAATGATAACTGCTGCATAGGAGATTATGAGGAGGACAGGCACGTGAAGTCATAAAGTAAGTTTTAAATTTTTTAAATAAATGCCTAACGAACGAACAAACGAACGAACGTACGAGTGGAGTTGAATAGCACATCAATATTAAGAGCTGTGTACCAGCAGCAAGCAAGAGTCCACAGTTCTAGCTTAACCTTCCACAGGTTTTCGACGAATCTCTGCCGTAAACAGACTGCACATGTGTGCAACTAATAAAAGCAAACAAAAAAGGCATGAGTTTTTTTACATACACTACTTTTTGAAAGGACCTACATCCTATGAGCTACAACTATGATCTCCTTTTATTTTGGATTCTGGTCATTTTACGAGCACATGTGAACTATTATTTTTCACTATCCATTTACTCCTAAATGGACGTCTTAAGTAAATGTATACCCATATTATAGACTAAATATGGGGATATATAGGCAGGCATCCCAATTGGACAGAGTCCTTGTAAAGCATGATTTTGATTCAACGTGGCATACAATTTGCGAATATTACAACACGGTTTCGATACAGTACGATTTCACAAACTCGAATGTGTTTCTGTTTAATTGGTTTTTGCTTTTACTTTATTGCTAATATGATGAGATGCGGCCAGTAACTTTTGATGACAACAAATTTTATGGTCCTCATCATTATTTCTTGAATATACTTTTAGTTTTTATATTTCATCACAAAGTTAAATTTCATATTTCTTTGTTTTTATGAAAACTTGAAGTTAACTCGGCCTCAATGGCCGACTCGACTCGATCTCGACTAGCAACTTAATGGTCGTGTGGTCAAATCCCAAGACTTACATCTTTGTGTTTTAAGACTTTACTCTTGCAAATTATTTCTCTGGCTTAATTAATTATAATAATAATAATAATAGTAATAATAATAACTTAATTCTTTCTTTACATACAATCGGAACGAAATTTCGCAACAAATTTTCATCGTAAAGTTTTGCACCTCAAAATTTGGTTTCGATGCAACATGATGCATGTTGCACTGATTTACATTATTTCATGGTATCTTGTAACATGGTCTCTTACAGCACGAATAAGGTTTCGATACGACGCGGTATACATTTTTTTTGATATACTTATATACCAAGGTCTCCAAACTACGTTATACTATACGCTATTTCTTACTTACCCACTTCTGTCGAGAAATTTTGAAGCGGATCGAACCAATCATTCTTAATAACGTTTCTCCTTGGGGTCACGCCAGTGTTTCGACCTGACAGGCTTAGATCGGTTTAGAAAATGGTTTTGAATCGATCGGTATAATAAAAGGTGAGTCTATCTTAAATGCTTCTGCGTGTTACCTACGTCGACCCAAACTTAATATATCCTATACTACAAGTGGCGTGTAAAGTGTGGCATAATAGAAAAAAGTAATGTAGTCTGCATTCCTGTATCTACAGAATACGTAGCATTCTTTAGAAATATTGATTTCTGTGTAGTGGACAATGGACAATTAGTGAAAAACATCAATTTTCGGCTAGCAAAAAGCCCAGAGAGGTCTGGTCAAACACTTTTTTATACAGAAAATTTAAATTTCAATCAAATAGATGTCTGCCAAAGGTTGCAAGGTT